GAAGACAGTCTACTCACACATATAAAATAAATAAATAAATCTTAAAAAAAAGTACAACTTTGAGGAAAGGTTTTTCATGATAATTATCACAATAAAACTTAGGGAATGACTACATTGAAATTCCCTCTGCAAAGCACATGCTTTTTGCAAAGTACTTGTGACCTCTTTCATAAGAATGGATTCTATTGACTGTGAAACAATGTTCAGGATAAGGGTCTAGAGAGGTTACCATGGCATGTGGTGGTTGTGGATCATAGGCATCAAAGCTGGGTAGGACTGTTGGTTGCTTTCTTAATTTTGAAGCTAGCATGGTGCTTGGCTATCTTTTAAAATTGTGTGTGTGTATCTGTATGTGGGTGTGTGCATGTGAATACAAGGGCCTGGAGAAACCAGAAGAGGGATATTAGATCCCAGAATCTGGAGTTACAGGTGGTTGTGAGCCACCTGAATTATTTATTTATTTATTTTAATTTTTCGGGACAGGGTTTCTCTGTGTAGTCCTGGCTGTCCTGGAACTCACTCTGTAGACCAGGCTGGCCTCGAACTCAAAAATCCACCTGCCTTTGCCTCCCAAGTGCTGGGATTAAAGGCGTGTGCCACCACTGCCCGGCGGTCCTCTGAACTCTTAATTGCTGAATCATCTTTATTTTTAATTTTTTAAAAATATTATTTATTTAATGTATATGAGTACACTGTAGCTGTCTTCAGACACACCAGAAGAGGGCATCAGATCCCATTACAGATGGTTGTGAGGTACCATGTGGTTGCTGGGAATTGAACTCAGGACCTCTGGAAGAGCAGTGGGTGCTCTTAACCACTGAGCCATTTCTCCAGCCCTTTATTTTTAATTTTTAAGGCAAGGTCTCATTGTATAGCCTGGACGGCCTGTAACTTACCATGTAAACCAGATGGCCTTGAACTTATATTGATCTACTTGCCTCTACCTCTGGAGTGCTGAGATTAAAGGTGTGCTACCATGACCAGCTACTTTTTTCATGTGATATCTATATCTATCTATCTCTATCTCTGTCTCTGTCTCTATCTCTATATCAATCATCTCTATCTCTCTATCATCTATATCTATATCATCTCTATCTCTATCTATCTATCTATCTATCTATCTATCTATCTATCTATCTTGTCTTTGTAATAAGAATTTTTTGCAAGACTAGGACTGGAGATGTAGGTCAGTGATAGACTATTTTCAAGAATATTTGTAAGTGGAGAAAAGTAGCACAAAAGCTAATAATAATAATAATAATAACAACACAATTCCTGAAGAGAATCCAACCCAATTCTCTCTGTAGATTTTTCTTTTTTTCCTCCTTTTCCATGGATGAAGTCAGACCTAAAGACTGCATGTAAGCAAGATCTCTCTCTCTGAGCTGCCCACAACCTCTGCGTATCTTCTAGCTTGTACCCATATATCTAAGAGGCAAAGAGCGTCAACAACATGTGCCAAGGCAGTGGATAACTTTACTTTTTTATGTTTTGTATGTTTACATAGCTATGTGGTCCAAAATGTTATATTATTCAATTAGTCTGTGATAACTTCACTTTGGAATATTTATTTTAAGACATAATATTACCTATAACAGAATTAAGTACATGTTGTATCTCTTAAGGTATAAACTACTTTAAAAAACATTAAATTTGGCTAATAGCAGTAGCTTAACTCTGAATGGAAGACAGGAAAATGTCAGTGTGACTCCAAGGGTTATATATCCTCTTAAAAACCTTTAAGTAACTAGTAGCATTTAGATTCAGTTTCATTTCTGTTAGGTGAACATATCCTGAATTTCAGAATATCCCCTCCTTTTCTCTGTTATTGGGATAGTTTGCTTGATTTTGAGATCTATAAATACTTCTTCATGCAAGTCTTCTTGATGTTGTATTTTTATCTTTGAAATCAGATGAAGAGGAGAAAGTAGTGGAAAGGAAGAGGGACAGGAGGAAGAGAAGGGTTCAGAGTCCAGATTAATTGTTTATATTACTTGAAAACACTCCATTTCTCAGAATCTAAGTTCTCTCTGGTGGGGAAACCACTGAGGTAGCTTTTCCCAGGAACATCCTAGACTTGACCTCAAAGTCACTCCATACTGGAAATCCCCAACTGCTGTGGGTGTTTTCTCTGCCCTTTCCTTCGTTTGGAGGCAACAACAAAATGATTAGAAGCCAAGGACTAGAGTAGCAACGATGTACACTGGGATCTTATTGATTAACTAGTACAGTTCCATGACTGTACTAGGTTGGTCTTGTTTATCTCCAAAGATACCAGTACTTTACCAGGATACGAAAACAGCAAGTGAGATCGTGTTTAATAATCTTATGCCATTTCAGAAATATAAATTCTCACTAAATGTTACTTTTTTATTATTCATTTAATCATTTGTTAATTTATTCTTTCTGTGTCAGATAACAAGCTGGCCAGCACTGGAGATACAAGTGAACTAGAATACAGTCATGGTCTTCAAGTGCATACTGGGGTGATAGACAAGGAGATGATTTGAATTTCCCCGGGAATCTCATGCTGGGAGAAGGGAAAGACTGAATCCTGGTGCCAGACAGATTGTGGAGAGGAAAGCTTGTCTTTTGGAAAGAGATTGCACACAGTTCCGACCACCTGTCATAGGGCTTGCTACAGCCTAGGTAATGGCTAAGACTCCATCTCATGAGTTTGCCTAGCTTGTTATACGCAGAGACCTGAGCCTGCCACCCCTTCTCGGATTTATTTAGTTTTTTATTTTATGTATGTGTATGAGTACACTTGAGACACACCAGAAGAGGACATTGGATCCTATTACAGATGGTTGTGAGCCACCATGTGGTTGCCGGGAATTGAACCCAGGACCTCTGGAAGAGCAGTCTGTGTTCTTAACCTCTGAGCCATCTTTTCAGCCCTCTCTTTCTTGGGGTGACCACTTTGAATACATCTCCTTTCCCTGCTTGTCACTGTTACTTGTTTATTGGCATGTGGAGGACACGAGTGGCCAAGCCTAGGTTGTTAGGGCTGCAGGGCCCAGGCTCTGGCCCAAACAATTCTGAATAAATGTATAAGAAAGTAGTGACTGCAGAGAGGAATTAGAATGTGAAGGAAGCTTGTTGCAGACCAGGTTTGGCAGCTTTTCCTTTCTCTTCTGCCAGGTCCTCCCTGCTGTGTCACTGCAAGGCTGTTTTCACCTTCAATCTGAGATGACATTTTCTGCCCGAGACTGATGATGTTTCAGAATTCCAATATCCTATTGGACAACGGTAGCAGCTAAAGGTCAGAAGCTGGAATTTTAATAATTGAGAGCAGGGATCTGGAGAGAGTGAGCTGACAGAACAGCAGAGCCAGTGGCATCCCGTATATTTTACAAGGGACTCTTCCCTTCATGTTTTAAAACAGTATATTACTTTACCATATACATTAATAATTTCAGTTTAGCTAGTGACTGTCTAATAAGAACTTCAAATAAGTTTCCATTAGGATATTGAAATATTCAAGCAAGCTTTTGGATTGCTTTACATAGCACAGGTACTCTGTAAGCCAAGTTCTTTGGAATGGAACCCTCTAGAATAAAATGACACAATTTAAGATGTTATTAAAGTGAGGAGTGGACATGGAGTCCCACTTATAAAAAGTTTCTGCAATTGATACTGCCCAGCGAAGGGAAAATCAGCTTTCTCCAATGGAGTCTCATTAGGTAAATTAACCATACTTTAGGGCAGGCCACATACCCAGTAGTGGCTGGCCCACTACTAACTGATAGTATATTTTGTAGACTTTTTACTTTATTTTGCTTTGTTTGGAGGTTTTTTATTCTGTTTATTTTGTTTTGCTTTGTCTCATGTCTTTATGGTTTTTTCTTATTTGTTTTTTCATTTTTGTATTGGTGTGTGTGTGTGTGTGTGTGTGTGTGTGTGTGTGTGTGTTTGAGAAATAGAGAAAGAACATAAAGTTGGGTGGGTAGGGAGATGAGGAGGAAGATTTGGGACGAATTTGGGGAGGGGAAAGCATGATCAAGAAAAGGAAAAAAAAAAGGTTTTTCAGTGTGTGTATAGTACATAGCTACTTCAAATACAGAAAACAAAACTTGGAAATTTTACCAGGTCCTTTGAAAAATAAAGCCTGAAGCATGTTTAATAAACAATTTTGAAAATTAGTTTCACTGAATGTACTGCCTGAGAAGCCAATGTTAAACTTGGAATATTAGGAGTATCAGGTTTCCTGAGGATACACAGCTCAGTCACAATCTTGGTCTCATTCAACCAAATCTCAACAGTAAGGGGATAGCACCTTCACATATCTCTGGTCTCAGGGAGGAAGAGGCATCTGAGAGTCAAGGTCCGGATGGGAGAATCCAGGAACTGTGGTGCACATATGGAGAAACATAGGAGTCAGAATTTAACTGTTGGTTTTGAATTGTTCTCAAGTTAGTATGTTTGGTTTGCAGGTCCTGAGTCAGGTTAGGAAATGTATTAGAAGTTCAAGAACCAAGAATCCAAAGTAACTGTGTGTGTGTGTGTGTGTGTGTGTGTTTAAAGATTTTATAAGGAAGGTTTTCTAAGCTAGCAAGACACCAGGAATGGCCTACTATGCTAACCTATGTTAAAAGAGGGGAGCATATTTCTACAGCATAATATATGCAGCAAGTGGTACCTCAGGACACCAAGTCATGTCTGCAGTTCAGGCTCATTTAGGCAGTGAAAGAGGGCTACCAAGCATCACAAATTATCAAGCCAGCTAGTAGAAGCCAAGATTAGTAGTGGCTGAGCAGTACTAAGGCAGTATTGGGAGAAGGTAGGGGAATTGTCAACCAGGGAAAAATTCCTATCATAGAATGGCTATTCTATGTTCAGAACTAGGAATACAGATGGATTGACTAAGGGGAGAAATCTGTGTACAAAGAGCGTCCATTATTAACTCCACCTCAGCAAAAGTGAAAGGAATTCTTGAGGACAAAGGTTGTTGCTAAACTGGACAACACAGTGGATTTGGGGATTTCCAACCCAGCTACTCACATATAAGAGGACATGAGGACTCTTTTCTCACTCAGCCTTTGACTGCAGACATGGCTTCCTGCGTCTGTGTAAGTTGGGGTTTGGTAAACAAATGGGAAGGAAAAGTATTTCCACATACTGGGAATACAGTTCCACAGTTCAGGAGGGGGACAGTGGTCCAGAAGGTGAGGTGGTTGGTTGAGGAACATTCAGGAGAAAAGGCAGACATTTTAATAACTGCACATAGGAAGAGGTTGCTTATTTGACTTGTTAAACTTTTAAAATATATTATTATGCATTTATTATATGTGTGCATGTATATTCAGGGTCAGGGCCAGAAGATAACCTTCAGGGGTCAGTTTTCTCCCTCCACTACATAGGTTCTAGGGGTGAGGCTTGGCTGCAAGAGCATCTATCTATCTATCTATCTATCTATCTATCTATCTATCCATCCATCCATCCATCCATCCATCCATCCATCTATTTGTTATTTAACAGCTGAGCCATTTTGCCAGCCCCACTTATGAGAAATGGTAGGACACTGTGCTTCACGAGGCTGGTAAGATGTGAAATTAGGGAAATAACTTTCTCAGCCTAAGAGTTCTCAGCCTTAAGCTTCTCTCTCTTTTAAAGGAAAACTTTGTAAATATAATTTTTCTTGTTATTGATGACATACCTTGTTTCATTACCTTAATGAAAAGAATGTGCAACCAGGGCAGTATCCAATACAGGACAAAACCTCCACTGAAGAAGAATCTGGAATATCTAGGTTGGGAAGATTTCTTGAATGGAGTTATGAGGAAGTTTTCATAAGGTTTACAGGGCAGATTCTTTCCTATCTTAATTCTTTAGTAAATGAAGTTAAACTTGGATATAGTTTCTATTTTCTGTGAGTAGGATTCTGGTCTAACTAAAAGAGGATATTATGATCTATTACAGTAGATATAAAAATACAAGATACACAGATTAACACCACTAAGCACAGCATCACCACAACATGGACATTATCAGAAACGAATGGGAACATTAATAAGAGTGTAGCAGTGTAGAGACCGTATAACTTAATTAGGGTTCTTTCTGAATTAGTCACAGAGGGTGTGAGTCATGGCTGAGAACATCCTGTGAGGCTGCCAAATCTTGGAAATCTGCTTTGGGTTTGTCTAAGGATCTGTGTACAACTTTTGAAGCCTCCTGGTTTCATGAACCTAATGTTCTGATTTGGGTTATAATATAGGAATTAAAAGTTTCAAGAGAGGGAGAGATGCAGATTGTTGGGAAGGAACTGGAGGGTTAACCAGGTCGAACAGTGAAGCTGAGGAGTAGGGAGTAGAGGGTGGCAGGTGTTCTTAGATGACTCTCACAGCTTTCTTTGCTTAGGTTGTCCGTTCGGAGCAATGGCCATTAATGACCTTTGATATCACCAAGAATGACAAAGTGAAGAAAATAAATGAACATATTAGGTCCCAAACCAAGGTCTCTGTGCAGGATCAGACCCTTCTGCTAGACTCCAAGATCCTCAAGCCCCATAGAAAATTGTCATCTTATGGAATTGACAAGGAAACCACCATCCACCTCACCCTAAAGGTGGTGAAGCCCAGCGATGAAGAGCTGCCCTTGTATGTGGTGGAGTCAAGAAACGAGGGGCAAAGGCACCTCCTCCAAATTCGAAGATCCAGCCCGGTGGCCCAGGTGAAAGAGATGATCGAGAGTGTGACCGCCGTAACTCCCAAGAAGCAGATTGTGACTTGCAACGGAAAGAAGCTGGAAGATGGAAAGATCATGGCTGACTACAACATCAAGAGTGGCAATTTCCTCTTTCTGACAGCGCACTGCATTGGGGGGTGACTGCGTGGATGGGGTGACGAGAAGCTCAAAGCTGATTTCCTTTGAGCTCCTACCAATCACATCTCTTGATGATATAAAAAATTAATGAGAATGATATAAAGATTTGAGGGGGGTGGGGTGGGTTAAAAATATTTGTCAAGTCTGTGATTCCTTGTTTTTAACATAGTTCATTAGCAGGGTTGTTGATGGGAGCAAAAACTGAAACTTTAGTCAGGTGTGGTGGTGCAAACTTTTAATTCCAGCACTTGGGAGGCAGGGGCAGGTGGATCAATGAATGATTGTTGAACCAAATTGAGTTCTAACTATAAAGTATAGAGAAATAATGTGTTATGGAATATCATTTTTGCCATAACTGGATCATAGTCTAATAAAGATGTAGAAATTCAGTCATCATCTTCTTATTTAAAGATATTTGGTATGAAATAAAAACTATCATCGTCTCCGTATGCTGTGTCTAACCCTAACAAAAGTTCTGAGTAAAGAAGGGGAAGAGCCATTATCCTATTTGGCAGATGGGAGTCCCAGTTTAATAAGGCCCAGCACAATTGCCTATTATTTGCAGACATTCTTTGTCATTGTATGGACTGAACGGAGTGTAGTGGGCATGGTCACATCTCTAGGTTTACATTAGCTGGACTGGCTCTCCTAGAACAGAAACCATATCCTACTTCTGAAAGAGATCTCTGTAAGGTAGGGCCCATGACTTCCTTGTTAACCCGAGAGACTCCACCTGATGGCTGAGGTCGTGGAAGTTTTCATGGTCTTTTGTAAGCCTGGAGAAAAACTAAAGGTCAGCACCAGGTTAGCATCATCTTATCTCCATGTGGATTCTTCAGGGCCGCTACAAAGTCTCCTGAGGGTGCATCTGGCCCTCTCCTGCATCGTGCTTCCCTTCTTATAGAAAGAGCCATTTACCACAACACTATTTATGTGTGTTTATATATTTCAGGAGTCCCTCACACCATCCCCGAAGAATCCAAACCCTACTCGGTGAGAGAAAAGTATCTCTCTACTAACCCAGAATTCATCGAGCACAAAACTTGCAGATTCTCATGCAAAGACGAAAATTATGAGCACCCTATTTCTGGGACCCTGAGCCCTTCTCGGTTTTTTTACTGTCCCACCTATGGCCTCCCCAGACTCCGCAAGAGCCTCAGTGCCGCCCCCTTCACTTCCTTGTTCCGCAGTGTGTAGATAAGAGGATTGAGCGCGGGTGTGACCACTGTGTAGAAGAGCGAGACGAACTTGCCGCGGCCCTGGTTGTAACTATGCGTGGGTTGCAGGTAGGTGTAGGTGGCAGAGCCATAAAATAGGCAGACGGCGGTCAAATGAGAGCCACATGTACTCGCCGCTTTCCGCCAGCCAGCGCTGGAGTGCATGCCCCAGACCGCGCGGCCCACCGCGATGTAGGAGGCCAGGATGACCGCCGAAGGCACCAACAGGATGACCACGCGCGCGGCGAACATCTGACGTTCCGTGGCGCTGCGGCCACCGCGGCAGGCCAACTGCAGCAGCGCGGGTAGCTCGCAGATGAAATGGTCCAGACAGCGGGGCGCGCACAGCGGACGCGCGGCCAGCAGGGCGGTCTGCGCTGCAGAGTTGGCCAGGCCACCCAGCCAGGAGGCTCCGGCCAGCGTGCGGCACAGGAGCGGAGAGGCGAGTGAGGCATAGCGCAGAGGGTTGCACACGGCAGCCGCGCGGTCCAGAGCCATAACCGCCAGGAGCACGCACTCGGCGGAGCCCAGGGCTAGAGATGAGCACAGCTGCGCCATGCACCCGGCGCGCGGTAGCTGCAGCATCCAGCCGCGCAGGCTGGCCAGCAGCGGTGGTACCACACTAGTAGTGAAGCCCACATCCACTAGAGCCAAGTGGCAGAGGAAGTAGTACATGGGTGTGTGCAGGCGAGGGTCGCGAATGGCCAGCAGAACCAACGCCGCGTTGCCAGTCAGCGTTAGTAGGTAGCAGAGAAGGACCAACGCGAAGAGAACTGGCTGCAGAGAGGGCCAGTCGGTGAAACCCAGCAGCAGGAAGCGCTCCGCTGAGCTTTGGTTAGCCTGAGGGGAAACTCCAAGAAGGTTCGGAAGGATGAAACAAAAGTGTTTAATGCTAGAGGGCACAGTGATGCAGGCCTTGCACTGGGAGGCAAAGGTCAGAAATTTTTGTGAGTTCGAGGCCATCTTTTTTGTTTATGCAACTGTTAAAGCTTTGAGAAACAAAGCCAGCCAGTTTTCACAGGTGCCCTTAACTCTGCTTCATGGGCAAATCAAAGTGGAAATGTTTTTGTAATATATATAATTTCAACCATTTAGAGCAGCCAAGAAATATCTAGCTATAGAGCTTCCACTGGACTACACCAAATATGGTAACTGTAGCCAATCAAATATTTTTCTTTATTCTCCTTTTCTTCCTCCCCGCCTCCTTTTGCCTCTGCCTGCCTGGGGGGTGGGGGTTCTTTCCTTCCCTCCCTCCCTTCTTTTCAATAGCGTCTCATGAACCCCAGGCAGTCCTTCAGTTCTACTTGTAGCAGAGGATGACCTCAAACTCCTGATCCTCTTGAGTCCACCTCCAGAGAGCTGGAATTATAATCATGAGCTACAGCGTCCAAGCAAATCTTTCTTTGCTTTACTTCTGTGTTCATCCTATCAAAATGTTCCCTATGTTTTCCCCCTGTGGTTCACTGAATCACTTTTGCCTGATTCAGAAACAGCTGTTTGCTCAAACCTGTTAAAAGTTTATTGTGCCTCATCCTCCCCTCCCCCAACAACCATCCATCCGGCTGGGCTATTCCCCTACTCCATGAGTTTGGTTTTAACATGTTATACAGTTTTGTCTAGCCTGTGGAGTGTCAGGAGCCAAACCCAGGAAACTACCTGCTGTCCTAAGAGAACCTAGGAAGTTACCTGCTGTTCTTGAAAGCCTAGTCAGTGCAAGGTTAAGAAAGGACGTTCACAAGTCCCCAGGAACTTAAAGAACGTCTGGCATTTCCTGGAAGCTGGTTAGGACAATGGGATGGTCTAGGGCAATAAGCATTCAATAGTGGGATAGCCCTAAGCAGTGACCCTCACCCAAACTTCCTGGTTTGTTGTGTCTTTATAACCTGCACCCGAAATTAAAGTTTCAGAGCTTGATCAGAACCCCAGACTTGCTCTCATTCCTTGTGTCTCTTGTCCCTTCATTCTTTCGTCCCTTCCCTAAGGTCTCATCGAATCCCCGCGGGCAGTGGAGGCTGCTTACAAGTGCACAGGACCTCCTTCTGTATATGTGACATTCAGGATCACTACAAGGCTAGCCTGGAGGAGGAAGGGACACTTCCTGTCAGACCAGAAACAAGAAGTCCTCAGTCCTAGAACTGAACTCAGCTAAAACAACCGTGTCTGGTTGGTTGGTTATATGAGAAGTAGAAATCACTTCACGTCGTTCTACCTCAAGTTTGTCACGTGTAAATGGTGGAATTTGACTTCTTGAGTCTATCGTGGGCTTTCCTGTCAATTGTTTCTAAAAAAAAAAAAAGAAAGAAAGAAAGAAAGAAAGAAAGAAAGAAAAAGAAAGAAAGAAAAGAGAGAAAGAAACAAAGAGGACCTCAACTTCAAGGCTCTAAGTATTGATACTGAATTCAATATCTGGTGATATGGAAATTATCATGGTTGATGAGATGGATAAAATTTACACAAAAATCTTTCTATACATGTTTTATGACAGATATCATATAGATAGCTTGTGAACACACTCACTGCTTTTAATTGAAAAAGAACCATAAACCTCTGGCCTGGCACTTGCTGCCTGATGGCCTGAGTTCCACCCCTGGGATCCATGTAGTTGAAGAGAACTGACTCCTTCAAGTTGTCCTCTGGCCTTCACAGATATGATGTGGCATGCATCCCAACCTCAATCTATCAAGCTTTTTAGTTTTTTTCAGGAAATAATCCCTCTCCGAATACAACACCTTGCTTATTCCTCACCAGGCAGAATAAGTTTCAATGTGAGTAAGAACAAGGTCCAGGACTTAAGACTCCTTAGGTTTGAGTCTTGATTCTGTTACTTTAGAGATGATAACTGGGCATGTACTTAACCCCTCTGTGCCCCCATTCTTCATGTGGTAACATAAGTCTGTAACAAGAGTTAAATACACAGAGTACTCTGAACAGTGCTGGCATAACAGTAGTTATCATCCCTGCCTTATAAACAAGCATATACATTTTTGTTTTCATTGTTTGATACTTTTTGGTGTTGGAAATTGAATCCAGGGCCTCATGTATGTTGAATATATATCCCCTTACTGGTCATACACTGAATCATATCTCTGGCCTTGGAAACTGTTTTGTTTTACAAGACAGAGTCCTATTATGTATTCTAAGCTGGCTTTGAACTCAGAATTGTCCTACCTTTGCCACCTGAGTGCTGAAACTACAGATGTGTGTGTGTGTGTGTGTGTGTGTTTCTGGATCACTCAAGCTCCAGGACAAGATCGGTGACAGATTTGATATGGAGATCCATGTTCCTACATGTATCGACTTTAATATTTCCTTGATTGGAAATCAGGCAGAGTAGGGAGGGGATCAAAATTAAATGTGTTCACAGTCACATTGTTTATAAATGATAGAAGATTTTTACTCAAACCTAATTAACTCCAAGGACTTGGCTGAATTCACAGGATTCTATTATGCCAGACTCTGGAAAGTTAAGGGACATGCAAATGTTGTTGTTACAGCCCATGTGTATAATTTTCTTTATAGTAATAACAATAATATTGGAGGCTTTGGAAACTGACTTGTACCATTAATAATTGGAGCCCCTGTCATGGCATTCCCACGAATAAGTTTCTGACTTCTTCCTTCATCATTTCTTCTTCTTCTAGCATCATCAATAGGAGAAGCAGGAGCAGGAACAGGATGAACAGTATATCCACCCCTAGCCGGAAACCTAGCCCACGCTGGAGCATCAGTAGACCTAACAATTTTCTCTTTACACCTAGCTGGCATGTCATCTATTTTAGGAGCCGTTAATTTTATTACTATTATTAATATAAAACCCCCCACCCATAACTCAATACCAAACACCATTGTTTGTTTGATCCGTACTTATTACAGCTGTCCTTCTTCTACTTCACTCCCAGGATTAGCTGCAGGAATTACAATACCATTAACAGACCGTAATCTAAACACAACTTTCTTTGACCCAGCAGGAGGTGGAGAGCCTATTCTTTACCAACATCTATTCTGATTTTTCAGTCACCCTGAAGTCTATATTCTTTCTTATTCTCCCAGGGTTTGGTATTATTTCACATGTAGTTACCTACTACTCTGGAAAAAAAGAGCACTTTGTCTTTATTTCTAGACAATCTCATAGCATTGGAACATGGATGAAATATAAGACATGGCAATAAACTTTGTG